AAAGAATTGCACAGTGTGATAAATTTACGTTATTGTTCGAAAATAAGAAGTTGTACTCGTAATCGTTAATTAGCATTTGTCGAATAAATTAGGAAAACGTTAATGCTACTTCCCCGCACTTCCGAGTATAATTTTATAATACATTGTGTATCAATGTATTATAATTTTTAAAAATGAATATACCGCGAGGCCAATAAATTTCCACCTTGGCGTCACCAAAAATATAGTCTTATCTCTTACTTAGATTTATGATATCAGGTTCGCATGCACGTATCGCGCGCGGGAACCGCGGTGATCGGTCTTCCTATGGGAAACGTGCGCGAAAGGGAGAAAGAAATCGTGCTGCGTCGCTGCATTACCGTGCATAACATTTATGTGCACGTCTCCACTACCGCACCGGCTGGAATATCGGGTTTTACGTAAAACCCGACGTGCGACGCATGGTTTCTCGCGCGTTCGATACCGAGAGTGGCGCGCGTCGTGATGCAAAACAACACCGCCGTCTCTCGCCGCCGCCACCGGTTTAACATAACGACCCCGGCAACGTACCGCGCGGAGATAACCATACGCAATTCCAACGACACACGTGATGGCACGCACTCACGCGCGCGCGCGCGCGCGCGCGCGCGCGTGTGTGTGTGTGTGTGTGTGTGTGTGCGTGTGTGTGCAGTCGATTCCAATCTCGAATTGTGCCGCGCCGTTCATTATCGCGTTTTATCGCGCGATCCTGCAAGAATCCGTCCTATATCGCGCTCGTATTATTCCACACGTTATTGTCCCGCACTCGCGAAGCATATCGCAAATTCCTGAATCGAATATCGAAAATTATGGCGTGCAATACTTACTTTACCTTACAATAATTACTTTATACAATATTGATTGTTGAAAATCGAAATGATATATCGATTTTATTGGTTGAAACGGAAAAGGAGAGAATGGAAGTCATGAGAAAGATTTTGATAGTAAAAATTAAACATATTTTAATTACGATTTAATAATAATTTAACACGTGACGTATTTAATATGTAACTAAAAATAGTCAAGAATTTGAAAAGAATTGTTAAATTTTCCTTTAATGATGTTAAGAACTTGAGTAATTTTATCAAAAGATAAAGTTTATATATATATATATATATATATATATATATATATATATGTATATATACATCGAATGACGTAATTCTAGTTTCCTGCGACAAATTGCATGGAGGTTCCATTATTAGCGCTAGCGCGAATTAATTTTGCGGACGAGAGCAGGAAGGAAGGCGCAATTCAAACGGTGGCTTTCTACCGCGGCGGTAATTTACTCTGAAATTGAAACAATTAAACTCATTTTTCCTCAGAATAATGCAGATTATTGTGCGAGCACACATGATGGTACAGCTGTTCGCCAGAGGTTGAAAGTGAAAATACCATGGCGATTACGTAACAGCCATAATTAAGTAATCGTTCTATGTAACAATCTGTCTTTGATGACTTGTCGTTCGCTCATGCGCTCTTTTCTTGAATTTAATTTCATGTTTGAAATACACATTACACGTGTGGATACAGAAGTATTTTTTCTTTTTTTAATTTCTGCCGTTTCGAAATATCTTGACAAAGAGTTATAGTAAAAATTTTTTACTATCAAGAGTTCATTTCTCACAACAATCGCAACCATCAACTTTTTTTATAGGCAACCTTGACACGGAAAAACTACTATTCAAGGTTAATACATCATCTATTTCGACCAATAAAATAATGAAGAACGGTCAACGGTATGAGGAATTTATTACGACCACCATAGTGACGTAATGATCGACATGCCTAAATTTCTCGGACCGAACGCGAACGCTTCTCTCGATTAGCACTGACTGCGACGGTTAATCACGCGTGTCGGCGGCCGGAAATCCCAACGAATCACACCGAAAAGGAAAGAGAGACGGTTCTCGCTCGTCCCACGTATAACGAATTACGAACGAGCGTGTCACGAACGAGAGCGCGAGCGGTGCGTACACGCAAGTGCGTCGACGAGAGCGAAGAACGGAGCCGCGAAGTGACAGAGGAAACGGAGGATTTGTCACGAAGGCAGTTTGGTTTAACTGATCTCATCCGTCTTGGTCGCGAGCGGCGCGACGGCGACGCGTCGCCCAGCCGATTGTCTTCGTTCTCGTTGTCGTCGCGACGACACGTTGACAGCTGGTCGACTTCATTGCCCGCGTCACATTGCCGAGCTCCATTCCGCCTTGTCGGCCTCTGCCAAACAGATTGAATCATTCCGATGGCCCTGACGGAGGGACCAAGCACCATTCGTAATTTTGTATGCACTGTTAAATTACAAGGCAGTTGAAAGAATTACGGAGCACTCTCGGTCTTTGAGAAATCTTTCGTGCCTTATTTATATATACAAAGTAAAATATAATCGTTTCATATAAATTTTTTAAAGACAAATGCTGTTCTATTAGAAAAAATTTATGTTATTGTAATAAAATAATTTTTAGAAAATACACAAATTATTTCGTTTCCGTATTATAAAAAATTTTAAGAGATCTATATAGAAAATTTTATGAATTCGGGTCATGCGTGCCGGAATTATGCGGTCACAAACGTGTCGTCTGTGAGAGCGAGGTGACGACCGAATAATGTGTGCCATTACTGACATTTTCAAACGTTAAGACGGCTTTCTGCGTCCCACGCGACTTCATGAAGCCTCGTGCTCATTACGTCATAGGCTCTATCCCGTTGATAATTCTTCCTTGGCAGCTTGGCATTGCGTGATAGATGTGGATATCGAATTGGATGAATATCCACGGCACTAGAATACGGTGTAGTTTTCCAAAAGAATTGTGTGTGAAAATGGATTCGTTCTCACAAGCGCAAAACCGAATAATAAACAAAATGAAGTCGAAGCAACCGCGAGTAGAGTACAACTTTAAAAATTTGCAAATTTATGCGAAGATAATCTTGCAGGAAGTTGAGAGTCGCCTTGTACGATGGCACGATCAGGGAGGAAGGGAGGGGAGGGAGGGGGTCACGTAAATGACGCGGCCCTCCATTGCGGTGTACTCTGATAAAACATAAGTACATGAGGCTTCTACTCTCTCCGCGCCTCTCGCTGCTTGTCTACGCTAAGCGGTTATTTGCTGCTGTTGTTATTATACTGGCGCTGGGCATGCGTTGCATTAGTTGTTCGTAGTGCTTTATGTGCCACGCCGGCTACGTTAATCGAACCCTGAAACACGCGCTTTCCTGCACGAGCGATTTAGCCCCTCTTTTTAGCGCTTCTTACGCACGACACACGCGTAACGACGCGTCACCGACAAGTCGATATTAAATTTTATGGGAGGGATAAAAATTTCACCTCCACGATCGTAAAATGCTTTTACTGCGCGTCCCCGCCGATGCTCGGACAAAACGTACGCGTCGCAACAAGAACGAATTTACGCGCCAAGTATCGACGAAGGCGCGGCAAACAGAATAAATTCCAATAATCGTAGGGCGTTGCCTCTTTCGGGCCTTCGAATTTTCGGGCCGCGAAATTTAATAGCGCCGTCTTTAACTCTCTTTCGCCGAATGTACGTAGCCGCGTGTGAAATTATCCATGTCGAAGTTGCGGCAACAGTTAAGTAGGATATCGCGGCGCGAATGGTTTCGTCGATTCTCCTCCTTTCGTTTACACCGAGAAAGCCACTGATATTCACCCTTTCTTAAAAGTACTCCTGGAATACGAGACGTTTTGCTTTCCCTGCCCCTCCCCCCCTCCCCTTCCCCTCTTCTCTTCTCTCTTCTCCGGCCTCTCTGGCCTTTTATCTCCGTCCTCTTCGTCGGGCCCTACACGAAAGTTCAATTTGCACGGCATGTCAAAGGTTCCCTTCGGATCCATTGGACTCTCTTTCTTCGTGACTCCGAAGATGCACTCTAATTGCAGCGAAGTTTCGATAAGCGAGATTTCACGTTCGTTTCTCGCACAAATCGTTTGCAAATCGTTGCATAAAAGGCGACAAATTTTTTGATATATCGAGTGCAACGTGAGGGAGGAGAATTTTCAAATAAAGCTTTAATAATTGATATACAATATTTAAATCAGATATATTTTTCTATCAAATTGTTATTGTTTTTATTATATTAAGTCATACGTGAAGTAATTGAAATTTTCTTCCTTGTTACAGGTTTCGTGTCGTGTTCGCCGAGCCCGTGCAAGAATGGAGGGCACTGCGTGTCGTCGCCGCGCGGCGAATCGCATTGCAAGTGAGTAGCAACCAGCCACATTATATCACTCCCATTATTGTAATTACAAATCGACGTTTCTACCCCTCCGTCCACCGGCTTGTATATATATCGTTCGGCATGCGTGTCGTGCGATTGCGCGTGAAACGACTGGTTCGATCATAGGCGATTGAGTTCTTCATACACTTGTACCGCGCAACGGCAGTTAATGTTTCCATTATTATAGACGATTTTTTCAAATTAATTAATTTTTTATTATTGTATTTTGTTGTTTTTTTATTGTATTTTTTATTTATTGTATTTTGTTGTATTATATTGTATATAATTTTTTATTGCTCGTATTTTAATCATATTTCAATATATAAAATTATATGAGACACACATGCATATATACCCTATCATACATATCTCTTATAAAAATAATAATAATTTTGTATTATTTGCATATAAATTTCATTTGCATAAATTTCTATAAAAATTTGACATACTTTTTCAAGAAGAACAGTGGCTTACAAATGTTGAAACATCAGTCTAAGGGATATATATAATAATCAAGAATAAAGAAAAAGAATAAAAGAATATAAATAAAAATCTAGTACAGAATATAAGAGAAAACGAAACAAGTTACTTTATGTTAGAAGAAATGTAGAGAGAAGTGAATAATATATATATATATATACATATATATATATATATATATATATATATATTTGATATTGCAGTAAGATAGTGTAAAAAAAATTAGAATTAAAATGTGCAAATTAAAAAAACTTATTTGACGTTGAATTTTATCAGAAAATATATGCATTTGTAAAAAAGTTAAATAAAAAATCGAATCATTATTTCAAATTTTATAAAAATCTTTATTTTTTTTAAATAATCGAATTACAACGATCGAACAAATCGATTCATTCTTTATTCACGTAGTATAAACGCACCTTTGCACATCGAGTTAGCGATCGACGACCGAGTCCAAGTAGAGGGGGATAAAGAGATACTGAGGAGGGCTCGAGGGGTACAACGGGGCGAGAGGAAAAGACAAGGAGGAGGCGAGAGAACCGGACGTTTCGCCGCCTCCCACGCGAAAAGGATGAGAAACCGTGAAAAAGAAGAGGAAAGAGAAAGAAGGATAAGGGGAAGAAGGGCGCGAAGAACTGGAAGTCGCAACTTCCACGACGCGAAATCACGCGAGCTCTGGAAAAGTTTGCATTGCTCCAGAAAATAGCAAAATCTTTTTAAAATATTTATATATAATATATAATTTTTTAAACCCTAGATAAAATCTTATTTTAATGAAATAGTAACAGGAGTATTTAATACTAATTTTAATTAATACAATTGAGTGTAATAATTTTGATTGTTACAACATGGAAAAATTTATGAGCAGTAAGTTCAAATGATTTAAATTTTAATGATAAAGTTCATTTTTCTAGATTTTACAATTTAATGTTTAAATCAGTTTTGTTTTCGAGATACTTTTTTTTCACTTTAAACATAATTCATATTGTAGTTTTAAATTATTTCTGCATATTTGCATAGCGTTCTGCTTCTCATTTATGTTATCAACACATTCAGTACGTTTGCTGGTACTAATCACTTAGGGTTGCAAATTTTACGATTTAAATTGTACAAGCAACGACTTTTATCCGTTTTGTAATTCTCAAAATCGTTGGGGTAGCGCAACTTTAATGCGCGCTTGGGACAATCATAAAACGTTCACCGATAATAAAATATCTATGTTCTGTGAGCGAATCTTTTTCGATTTCATACCACATATTTACACACGCGTAAAACTTATTAACTTAATTTATTTGCGTGCACGCATATGCTCGAGAACTCCGATAATCTATTTTGTATCCCTGTCTCTTGATCTAGCATCGATCGTATAGTGATATAGTGGTATAGTAAACTAAAGCATTTATAAAATATCTAAATTATCGATTTTATTTCCATATAATATATTAAAAAAACAAATTTTGTATTATTCATTTAGATATAAATGAATATGATGATTCAATTATTACATGCATAAATCTTACGTATTTTTTAAGGAAGTTTATTAAAACGCAAAATGTTATCGCACTTTATTTATTTCCAAAAATCACATTTACATATATTTTACATATATTTTACATCTACAATAATATGAATCAAAAATTTTAAAAAGGAAGCGGAATAATTTTTATTTAAACTTTTCCGACTGTTTTGACAATTCAAAAAAGAATATATATTACATCTTGTTACGCTGTTTATATGTAAATAACCGATGAGCTCGATTAGATCGTTTCGTCTCTTCGCGACAAGCGAGCTCATTGCACTCCACCGTTGCACTCTCACGCCAGACCGAAACGATCGACGTCTACTACGTGAGCGCCGAAGGGCCTCGCGATCGTCATGGGTAATTGGAAAATTATCGTGCCACTTTCCTCTGTCGATCGTTCGCTCGAAATACGGGGTAATGAACGCGGCGAGCATGCTTTCTGATAGCCAATACTTTACTAGTCCGATACAGAGAGTCTGTCTCTGTATAAACGACGCGTGAAAACGGATGATCGCTGCCACTTAGAGCGTACAAAATCTTCCTACAGTATTCGTATATCAATAAACTTTTTTATATTTACGTTTAGACGTTAGTAATAGTTCGCGTCGATTTTCAATTGATCCTCGGAGCTTGCGCGGAGGTAAGACGTGTTTTTTCTTAAACCTCAGGATTTTACGTAGCATTTCTAGTCAAGATGTAGATGACATTGGCATATAACTGACAGATTACAAATAGTTGATCGATCAAATCGTCCCGTTCCCTATAGCGCTGTGTTTTAGCTCGCGGCGAGCGTAACGTCGTCACGTCGCGCGAGAGATTACTGGTCGCTTGGCGAATCGCGAAATTTTGCACGCTTAGGCAGAAACGCGCGCAGATTTGCAATAATGACGTCCTCTTCGGCTCCACGCATCACGCGAAGCGGAAAGTTCGCGAAGATTTCGTCTACGAAGATGTCGTCGTGACGTTCGTCGTGACGTCCGCTGTCATCCGAGCGAGACTCTCGCTCCGAGTGTTTTCTTCGCAATGAAAATCAATGTGTCTGCAATTGCAATCTGCCACGATTCGATCGCGCGAAATGACCGCTTAAGCTCGCATTTCGACGGAACGTAATACCAACAGAATGGCGTGGGACGATACGGAACGGGGATGGAACGGAGATGGGTCGGGATCCGGTAATAGCGGTAATAGTCGACAGTCGTGACCCGGCGACGCATCTAAATTACCTTTATCTCTCTTCCAGTCCTCGTAGGTTTCACTTTTGTATCAGTCAGCTCGACGCCTCCGTGATCCTTGGATACTACTTGCCTTCTGTGGTTCCCTTGTTCGACGTGCACACATACACATACGTACAATCCGGCTTTCTGCAAACAGCGGCGTGAATCCGAGAATCCGTTTATCATCATCTCGACGACTCGTTTCTTTTAGACGCTTCGATGCACTCTTCAAAACCAAAAATTCCCGAAATTTTTTCTTCTTTATCCCGCTTGCGCGGGATTATCGTCGATTTTTTTCTCGTTGAACAAAACCGACGGAAACCTCGGGTTAAACTCGATTCTGAATTAAAGTTAAAGATTAGTTTAAAAAATAAATAATTGAGATTTTTTTTGAGACGAGTTTGAGACGAGCGCACGGAGGAGGTCAACGAAACTTGCACGTGGGCACGTGTGATTATTCCGCGCGCACGCAGGCGTATCGACGCACACGATCGCGTACTATCTATAGTTCGGAAAGAGGATGCGCCGCGTATACCGCAATATTTCTCGGACTCGTTACAGATGCGGGCCTGCTGCATCATATGCCGCGGCTATCTCATTTCGCGTAATCTAAGATACGATGGAGGCGCGCGCGGCGCTGCGACGTGCCGCACTACCGCAATGCTCGCGGTATCAGAATTAATTGCAACCCTCGGATTAATACCGTTATGCCCCGACGACCTCCGGCGTCCAGACCCTGGACAGATTTCGCGCTCCATGCTCCACGGTTATATATTTTGTACTCTTGTTTCATTTGATCCTTGCGGCGTTTGCGTTTGCGTTAACGAGTGCAATTTGTGTGCGGGTGTGCGATAAATATTTTATTATGAGAGCGACGTCTGGTCGTTCTCGTTATACGCGAAATAATTGTAAGAAATTGTAGAGACACCCGATCTTTTTCACGCTGCGATTTTCTATCACCGTCGCCGCAAGGTTTGTTTCGCTAAATAGAAAACCACAGGCAAAACGTAAATTATTTTGATATGACCGCGAACGTAACGACTTTATAACGCATTTAGCTTTCACGGCGGTGAATCAAATCAAAGATATTTCAAGATTCTTATCACCTATAAAGAAAGAGGATATGTTAATTGCTTAATTAGAAGGGCAATGTGTGTGTGGAGTCAGCTTTGGGATTCGATTTGATGGGATCCGTTCGAATCAAAAGAATAAAAAGGAAAAGCAAAAAGGACGTTATTAGCGTCGAAACTTCGAGCTATCATTCTTTCGCGTATTTATATGTCAAACGATCGGTACAATCGTGGAGAAGAAGTCTTCTATGGCTCTTAATTGGTCGATGACACACATGTAAAAAACCTGTATACTGAAACCTGTGCACTAAAAATAAATTTCCTGGCTATGTTAAAACTGAAAAGTGTCCTCAATTCGCGTATGCTCGTTATTGATTTGTATTCTCGATGCTTCAAATGAACTTATCAAGTTTTTGAAATTCTGATTTATTTAGAACACTACATAAACGCAAATTATAATTTAAATAAACATATAGTATAAAGTTTTTATGTTTTTATTATTATTATATTTTTATTTATTACATTTTGCATCAGTGAATTATCATAATATTTTCATTATTATTGCTAATAATTAATATAGAAACAGAATATACGAATAAATATTAGAATTTTTTAGAAAAAGAAATTATCAAATTGTATTAAAATAAAAATTTTGATATCGTACGACGACAACGATCACTTTTTATATTATGATTA